CGACGGCAAGACGACGCTGGCAGGCGACATGGGAGGTGGAGGAGTTGCTGAGCGGATGTTGCGGCGCCGGCAGCTAGCAGAGTCACCGGAAAAATGGGCAGTGGCGTCGGCGACGAAGGAGGCAGGCGAGGGTTTGCTGCTGGATAGGGAGAGACCAATGTGCCACCGACCAGCGGGCCCGGGGTGAGGAGAAGACGAGCGCGCACGTCCGTCTATTGTCTGCATCGATGTAAATCCGTCTCAAAAATGGACCGGGAATGGGTCACCCGCGGACGAAAAGAGGACGCGCGTCCGTTTAGGTCGGCACGTTGGGCCGACTTTTACGTCCGCGCCGATCCAAACGAACGCCCGCGGATGAAATGGGTCGCCCCGTTGAAGTTGCTCTAGCCCCTTGCTTTAGCAATACAAAGACCAGCTAAAACACTGTGCTACGCATTCAACCAACTGAAGTGTTGAATGTGCTGCCTGGGGGTGAGATGCCACCGTCATGGAATGAGACGTGGGTCACATTAATCCCGGTATAGAAACCATATATAAGATGAAAGACCTTCGCCCCATTAAGTTGTGTAATATTGTTCCCTCAAAAAAAAAGTTGTGTAATATTGTCTATAAACTGGTCCCAGAAGTACTTGCAAACAAGTTGAAATCTATCCTGCCATAAATTATTGCTCCCAGCCACACTGCGTTTGTACTCAAGGTTAATTACAGACGACATTTTGCTTGCTTATGAGGTTACTCACTATATGCATAATAAAAGATCTTGTGTAATGGAGTATGCAACACTCAAGCTTAGGGCTCATTCGGTTTGGAGGAAATCTAAACGTAGGAATTTGAAGTAGTATAGGAATTTGATAGGATGGCACTTGCCACCCTAAGGAATTGACTTGCCTTGTTCCTACGCGCAAAATGAGCTTTGAGTGGATGTGTAGTTTCCTCTAAAAGCATAGGAAATGAATCGTATTCCCACGAAATTCCTTTACGCATTTCCTACAAACCGAATGCATATATAGAAAATTTTCCTTGGAATCCTTGTTCCCATGTTTTTCCTATAAAAATCCTTCAAACCGAATGAGGCCTTAACATGAAATAAAGCTTATAATAGGGTGGAGTGGCACTTCCTACAAAGGATGATGAAGATGGGCTTCGAGGATCATGGCAGTTATGAAATGTGTCACACCAGCGTGGTTGTCGAGTCACTTTCACGTTTACTAGCTGCGTTTGTTTAGTTGTCGAGCCACTTTCACGTTTCTGCCATCCCAATTCAGACGGCTGCTTTTAGTTCTGCACAACGAGCAGCCATATTAAGCCTGTTTGCGTTCGTCTGCAGCCGAGTTCAGAAAAGAATCCAAAATTGCAGGGATATTTTTTAGAAACAAAGAGCAATGGAAAAAAAAACACTTTAAAAATATTAACTGAGCAAGGGAAGAAACTTTTGGGACATGCAAAAGTGAACTTAAATGGTCACAAACAAAACCCAGAGATGCCACACATAACTAATACCTGGACGGTTTCCATCAACATTCCAAAGAAAGTGCCACCCAAGCAACGACAATACATGGGAAACACAAAACAAAAGAAGATCTGGTGGATGCCTATCAAGTCTGGCAATTTTTTGCGATAAATTGCACAAGCTGGCGAACAAACAAAGAGTCTGCAGCATCATCATTTGATGTTCATTGTTTCAACATAAATCCCTGAACAAGTTCTTTGCCGCCAGAGCGGTCGCCCTTCCTTAACCATAGTTCAGGCGGAACATGTCGTTCTGCACGTAGAAGCTCCCTCCAGCTGGCAGCAAATGGAACATCTGCAAATACAGTGGATCACAAGGTTAGAAAAGACTCCAAATCCTTGTATGAAGGACAACTAAGAAAATTTCCCTTGAGATCAGAAAGACAAGAACATAACAATGTACTTCCATGCAACCTCTCAAACCCGTTAAGACACAGACCTGCTACCAGGAAGAAAAACCATCCTAATAGGCAAATGGACACAGACATAGTGAATTAAAGAGCTACACTCTTCTAAGGACCAGTAACAAATCACATTGATCAAGGACCATCTAAGAGTCCCACTGTTCAATAAAAAAGGCAGCATAAGCGTCATAAAGCATGGAACTGTTGAACTGAGTGGCTAAGAGGTGTAATGGGTTACAAATTACTTACATGTGCATCAAGGTTAGATTTGGAAAACTACATATTACCCATAAAAAAGCTGGACTTGCAATTATAGCATGTATCATCACCAGCGACCTATTTAAGATAAAACTACACATAAACAGCGGGTGAATTGTTTCATTAGCAAACAATAGGTTTTATACTCGCTCCATCCCGTAATGTAAGGTGTTATTACAACCGATATACTTACATATTGGTTGTAATAACAACTTATATTACGGGACAGAGGGAGTATTTGTTATTCTAAACGACCACCTAATTATGAATAGAGCACACTATCGTCACATAAACAGTGCATGGTGAAAGGAATTCTGATAAGGAAGCAATGAAACTTCAATAGAAGAAGTGCGCTAGCTACACTAATCCAACATATGACTCTGGAACATATAACCTCACCCCTCTTTCCCAAGGCATGGCCAAAACATAACTCTAGTTCATAGCAACTAGGAAAGTGATGCTCACATTATCAGTATCACAAATTAAGAAAAAGAGCAACACTACAGCAAATATCGTACTGATGCAACAGAGCAATGCATATTATCTATTCACATCAAGAAACAACCACATCAGTACTCACTAACATGGCAATCACTACATATGGCCAAATCCAGCAACCAAGAGCCATAACTGAGCCAACAAAAAAAAATTAAGATCACACTTGGAAACACAACAGTGATAGATGGACAGAAATATCCATTCATACTGCAAAGCATGGTCCTAGAGAATGAAATAATTTAGAGCAATCAGTAACAAAGAGCGATCAGCACCAAACTACAGGCCAGTATATACTGAATAATGATCAATTTTTAGGACAGACTAAAATCCCAACAGATCTTGTAAAGAACTACACGCACTGAAATTACCTCAAGGAAAAGTAAATCTGAAAACGTGCCTACGAAACAAAAGAACTGCCAAAAGGAGATCCCAAGGACGATGCCTACAAGGGAATGACACGGTTCCGGGATAAAGATCTATAAATGTCCACTTGTCGGATACAAGTCTCCAGGTCCAAACAAATCTAGCATAGCCTAATTAATCAAGTACCATCTAGTGATGAGACAGGGATATAGATTAATTTGATAGACCCCACCGATCATGATAGCAAAGCATAGATCACAGAAACGAAATTGAGGGCCTTCCACTCCTAGGGAAGGAGTACCGTATGATTTGCGAATTTGGAACCAAACGAAGGATCGCAGTGGTAATCACAGTTAATAGGATCAGATCAGCACATACGAGAACCAAACAAGAGAAATATTGGATGAGGGGACGGGCGAGATGGAGCGAATCGTGTGGGTGGTGCAGACCTGTGAGAACTTGAGGGGGTGCTCGCCGGGGCCGGTGGTGATGGTGCCGGAGACGAAGACGAGGACGCCGCCCTGGGGCCCCGAGGGCTGGCAGTCGACGGTGTCGATCTTGTGCTGGCACTGCTGGAAGGGGAGAGATCCGAGCTTGCCGGCGATGGCGGCGGGGCCGCCGAACTTCTCGCCCTCGAAGGTGAGCATGGAGCCGTCCTGGTACAGCCCCACCAGCGCGGCGCGGTTGGAGTCGAACGTGTGGTAGTAGTGCTGCACGAACGCCTTCGAGACCGAATCGGGATCCATGGCCTCTCCCTCCTCGCCTCGCCTCGCCTCGCCTAGGGTTTGGAGCTCTGGATGCGGAGGCTTTGGGCGTTGGGAGCCGGAGTTTGGTAAGTGGGGAGAGAGGGGTTCGTGAGGGGAATAATAATTGCTGGCGATTTGGATGGGGATGGCCGGGGGTGGGGTGGGGCTTGGCGTGGGAAGGACGCTACGCTGTAGGGGCTGGGCCCGTCGATGGACGAATGCAGCGCTGGGCTAGTTTTCCGCTTTTTGGGAGATGCGGCGTTGGGGGTGCCCTATGTCTCGCATTAAGCGGGAGAGGAGCGAACCGAACCCCTCGCTGAAGGCAAATGCCACTTGGCCCGGCCCACGCGCGCGGGATACACCAGCCTGTTTTTTGCTTTTTCACGTTTTTTGATTTTGTTTTTTCTTTTGTTTATTTATACTTTATAATATTCTATATATATATATTACAAAAAAATACTCTTTAGAAACAAATTTGAAAAATGTTAAATAAGTATTAAAAAATATTGCACAAGAATTTGAAAAATGTTGAACAAGTATTTGAAAAATGTTGAATAAGTATTTTAAATGTGGATCAAGTATTCAAAAAATGTTGAATAAGTATTAAAAAATTGAACAAGAATTTGGAAAATGTTGAATCAATACTAAAATGTTGAGCAATTATTAAAAAAAATGTTGAATAAGCATTCCTACAATGTTGAAGGTATATACAAAATATGTTGATCACTTATTAAAAAATGTTTTTGACATATACGAAAATGCAGACTGAAAACGAAAACAAACAAAAGAAAAACAAATAATGGAGAAGAAAACAGGAAACCAAACAAATATTTGAAAAAATGTTGAACAAATATTTGAAAAATATTGAAAAAGTATTTAAGAAAATGTTGATCATGTATATAAAAATGGTGTACAAGTATTTTAAAAAATATTGAAAAAGTATTTGAAAAACTTTGAACAAGTATGTGAAAAAATGGTGAACAAGTATTTGAAAATAATGTTAATCCTGTATTTAAAAAATGTAAAAATTGTGTATAAAAAAATATTTACCATGTATTACAAAAATGTATGATTTTTATTGAAAAAGTGCTAGACGTGTATTAGAAAAATGTTGTTGACATATACAAAGAGTGTAGAATAATAACCAAAAGAACAAAGAAAACCAAAATTAGAAACAAAATAAAAAATGAAGAAACACAATGCAAAAATGAATGAAAAAGAAGGAAACAAAAATGGAGAAGAAAAAGAAAAAACAAAAAAAGGAAAAAGGAAAAATCCCAAAGAAATAGGTTGCTCTAGCATCAAGTAGAACGCGCCCCTTGTTGTTACCACGAAAGGAACTTGGGTGGAGTGTTTAGCGCGGCGCGCGTTCTCCCTGGAGACCCCAGTTTGATCCCTCTGTCTCACATTTCTTTGCTCTTTTACACTGTGCGCGCATGGATGGGCCGACCCAATATGACGCGAGGGGAGAAAAAGCTTCAGCGAGAGATGCTGCTTGTATCGCTTAAGGCGATAAATAGTCGCCGCGGCGGAGTTGGGCTAGTCTCCTTTTCCTTTTGGAAAGTTGGGGTAGTTATCCATGGGCCTATAATGGTTGTGGGTGTTCATAGGCTGGGATTGTTTTAGTGTTCTTGCACTTGTTTAACATGGATTTGCTTGTCTAAGAAACGTGGATTTGCTAAAAAAACTTGTTTAACGTGGTCGGTGGATCCCTTGAATGCTCGCCGGAACATACAGTTGGTCTAGCAAGTATTTCTACCTTTGGATGCCACGACAATTCTTCAGGTTTCGGTTTATACTCGAAACATGGATGATTTCTAGTCATGGGGGTTTGATAAAAAATGGCAGTTTCTCCGTCAGGTCTACATACAAAATGATAGTGGCAACAAAGAAAAGGAGGGAAGACTGGTTGGATGACGGCCGGTTCTTCAAATATTGGAGCAAACAAGAAATCATGGGATATGTTGTGGAAGGTAACGGTGCCGGCAAAAATCAGGAATTTCCTTTGGAAGCTAACACATAACTCTATCCCAATGGAGGATGTTCGAAACCACAGAAAAATGCCCCCCTTATTATGTACTAGCAAGAGAGCATGTGCGTTACAACGGGAGAAAAAATTCAGATGCCCCTAATCCAATAACAATGACTCAAGGCCGATATAGGTCCATATCTTTTATTTCAACATGGCATTGGCAAAAGAACCTGCACATTGCGACAGGAGTGAAAAAAATACCACACGCTCATATCCAATAATCATGATTGAAGGCCCCATTAGGTCCACGTGCATCCCATCTGTGTTATGGCCATGCTCCTCCCCCACCCATCACCGATGGTGGCCTTGGTGCTCACACAACTACAACGTGTTTGAATGTGGTCAATCCAAAGATGTGTGTCGCGCTCTACGCATAAGATGAGAAATTTGCTTTCTTTGCCCCGTACGAGGTTTTGTCGAGGCAAGCGAGATGCGAGATTATAGATTTTCGATGTGGTTTTGGTGAGGTATTGATTTCCAATACAGATCTTACACCAGTACAAAAAAAGACAAATCATGCGCTATTGTGTAAGATTGCACCCTAAATAGCAATAGGTAAAACAACTTCACATTCAGATTCCACACATTTTCTAATTAATTTTCATATATAACATGCTAAAATTGAAGTTAGGGTTTAAAAGATATGGACATTTTATAAAACTATTTTAATTTGTCCATGGAGTGCGGGTTTATTAACCGAAATACCAAGGTTTTTTGCAAAAAAGTGAAGGTTTTCTGGACTCACTAGGAGCGTGGGTCGATTAAACAAAATATCGAGGGGTTTTCTGCTAAAATGAAACATTTTTCTATATTCACTTAAAACAGGACCACGGGTTGAATTCATGAAACTGCAGGGGGGTTCTACAAAAGGTATGACGACGGACGGGAAGAAGCAATAGCCCCTTTATTAGTAGGTATTGATATAGATATATATGTGGTATGTAGGACTCCTTGAAACATAGTTTAATTAAATGCAACATGGCATGATGCGTGTGGGCGTTTGTTGATCATGAATTGATGGAACACATGATCACAACAACTGAACCATCCACTCGGAGCTGGTTGTTCATAATGATGGAGCTTCTCAGCCACGAAGAATTGACCCGCATGATTGTGACCCTCTGGGCGATCTGGTAAGAAAAAATCTAATACATGAGGGGATTAACCAGAGCTCATTATCTACCCATCTTTTTGTCACAAAGTTTATTTCAGAGCTTGACCAACTACAAGTCCCAAATGTACCACATGCAATAACTCCAACAGATCATGTTCAAGCAAGGTGGGTTCAACTGCCAGAAGGTTTAGTCAATATCGATGCAGATGCGGGGACTTCGGTAAGGACGCCTCCCGCAAGTGCAAGTTCCTTGAGGAGGAGAATAAAGCCAAGGCGACCGAGCTCGCCAAGGCCCTTCAGGAGGCCAAAGAGGCGCAGTCCGAATCTAGGGCGGCTCACGAGGAGATCCGGCAGGCCGGAAAGATAGCGGCTGGTAAGCCCTTTCTTTTACAGACTTAGTTTGGCGATCAGAGATATGCCTTGCTTAATCAACTGTGGAGTTCTCCAGACGCTTTTGCGGATCTTCCGAAGTGTGCCGCCGACGCCGCGCAATTCTTCCAGTCTTAGGAGGGATATGCGACGGAGAAGTTGTTTTGGTCACAGTTTGGCGCGGGAGCGCCCAGCGTTGCTGAACGACCAAATGGCGCAATGGGCCGAGCTGTGTAAGATGTCTGGAGTGGCCATGAAGGACGTCATAGTTCGGCTATGGCCAGCCGAACCCATTTCGAGCAGCTATTTCAGCCTGGCGTGGCGACTCGTCGATGTAGTGCCCCGAATCGACGCAATCAAGTGGTCGGTGTGCATAGAAGGTGCACGGATGGCCTTCGCCCGCGTAAAGATGCACTAGGCGAAGATGAAGGCTGCCGAAGTGGCTGCCGAGGACCCTCCCGGAGGCAAGAACCACCGCATGCCGGAGCGCTATTTAGAGGACGTCCTGGAGGGTGCCCGCTTGGTAGAGGGTCAATGCTCAAAGGACATTATGTTCGAATAAATGTACCCGAATTGTCTGGATTTTTTATTATATATGAAGGCTTTGTAATATATTTGTGCCTTTGTCAGGAAGTTCTTTCCTCCTGTGCGGCCGTTTTTGTATTCCTGAGAGTTTTCCAGTCGTCGGCTTCGGCCCCCAGGGTGTTCAGAATAGCACATGATCACACTTAACCCAACGTCTTGGTCCGTGAAGGAGGTGTCAGTGCGGCGAACCAGGCAATCAGACTATGTGGCTTTACCACTCTCACTTAGCCATAGGAGTTTGACGATGGGGCTAGAAGATAGCCCCTCGTATGTACGTAGCTATTCGGATGCGGATGCGTTACGTATGTGACCGAAAAAGCGGTCCTTCATGTAATACGGAAACAATCGCTAAAGATCTTAATAATTCACCGAGTGGCTGACCAGCTCTCGCCGCATCATGATAGTCAGGTTTTGGCTTTCTCTACCGAGGTGCTTGACCGGATGAACCAGAAACACAATCGCAGTAGTTCTCTCTTTACTACCCTAGCCGAACAAACGGAACGTAAGGTAGCAAACACAGGAGTCGGGCAACCCAACTATTGACCAAAGACATGATTTGGAGCCGATCCATATAATGCCAAGCTCGGGACACTGAATTGTGCTATAAAGCTATTTGGGCTTTTGTGTGGCGACACATGTGTGGCCATATAGAGCCCTGGCAATTTGTGTTGAGGTGAGTGAGACAATTGAGGAGACGGTATACAGTCTATGAATAAAGGCGATACTGAAAAAATGTTTTCACTGAATTCTGATTGAGACGTCAAAACGTGACCTTACAGAGGGCACCATAATCACCAAGGCCATTTTACATGCCATAGGTCTGAGAAGAAGGGGAAAAGGTTCTTGAATAAAGTTTTGGTCTACAAAATCCTTTGGACCTCCTGCTGCACATATGCGCCA